AAACTCTGTCAGTTCAGAGCTCTTCTCCAGGGCTCATTGTGGGTCTGGTGTTGCACATCATCCCAGAGCTCAAAATTCCAGCTGGAATAAGAAATGGGAATGGGCAGGGATGGTTCCTGAGGTATTCATGAGGTCCGGGTGGCCTGGGCTGAGCCAGGGGACAGGGGCACTCCTGGTGGTCCCACAGTGGTGGCTCAGCCAGTTCAGAGCTCTTCTCCAGGGCTCATGGGTGGGTTTGCTGTTGCACATTGTCCTGGAGCCCAAAATCCCAGCTGGAATGGGAAATGGGAATGGGCTGGGATGCTGTTCCTAGGTGTGGGTGGGGTGATTTGGTCGTGATTTGGTGGCTGTGGGATGATCCCAGCCTTGGCTGGAGCTGGTGGATCCCGTGCAGCTCCCTCAGTGCTGCCCTCAGAGTCTGTTCCCTCTGTGCTTTTCTTGCCCTGTTTTTCCTTTCCATGCACAGCAAACCCACCTTCCAGTTCCATGCTAAGCCAAGCTAAAGAGCTCTTTGGGGACATTTTAACAGCTTGGTCCCAGCTGCTTTCTGTCTCAAGAGGGGCCCCTTCCCCCTGCTTCACTGAAACAGAATTAGGCTGTGTTAGGGGATATTTAATTGTAATTATGCTGATTAGGGGATGTTCAGGTTTCCATGGCCTTAGCAAAGCAGCCTCTCACCCACAGCATTTTGGAAGTTGGTTTGACTCTGATTAATGATTTGTCCTTTCAATTTCCCCTTTAGCTCATTTTGAATTACCTTGTTAATTTTGCAACTGAAAACTGAATTTAATTTCCTTTCATAATTCCTTCCTGACCCTCCTCAGTGCAGTGTTCAGCCCTGGCCTGAGCTTTGGGGGCTTCCCTGGATTGGAGTGTTGCTCAGGGTTCCTGGGAATTGCCCAGCAAGGGCCTGGCCGAGGCTGTTCCAAGCCAGGCTGGATTTTTCCTTCCAAATTCCTCTGTAAAGGAGGATTTAGGCACTGCTGGGGAAGGAAGGAGTGAAGTGAGAGAACACCACAGTCCCCTGTCCCCAGGGAATGGGGGACTCCCAGCAATCCCAGGCACAGCTGGAGAAATCCCAAGTTTCCATCTGCAGAGTGGATCCTGAATTCCTGAGCACTCCTGGGCTGCTTTGCTGATGCTGGAGTTCAGGCTCTCTCTGCCCTTTGGTTACATTTTAAATCCAGGAATTCCAGGTTTTCTCAGTGAAAAGCAGCAGCAGCACAGCTGTGGTTGACAGAGGGTGTTTCCCTCCCCTATTTATTTATATTTTACATTGGTTCATCTTTTATATTCTGTTTATTTCTCTTAAGCTCTCAGGTTCTTGTTTTTTCAGTCACTTTGTTTTGCTGTCAGATGTTTTTGGTGCTTGGAGTTCAGAGCTGGCTACTTTTATCATCCAGAAAACTCCAGAATTTAGAGATTAAACTGCTTCAATTAAAAATCCTGCCTCTCCTAGCACTGGCAGTGGGGTGAACCTCTCCCAGCCCTTCATCCAGCTCGGGGTGGCTGCTCCAGCTGCAGGGAGCTCCTGTGAGCCTTGAGCTGTGTCATGAATGATTGATGGCCACCAGAGCTGGGGAGAGCCACAGAACCCCCCTTGTCCTTCCCCTCCTCGCTCTGGGCGTGCCTGCAGGGGCTCGGTGTGCTGCTGAGCTGCTCTGCCATTGCAGAGTCCCTTATCTGAAATTATTCACTTTGTAACTGGAGTTTGGGTGTGTGAATGTGTCAGCGCTCAGCCTGAAGTGAGCAGCTTTTTCCAAGTGTCTCAGCAGTTTCCAGGGGTCATCAAATGATTTTATTGCAGGGTTTGTGCTCTTCTGTGGGGTTTTTTTTAACTTGATTGAAAAATAATTATTTAAAAAGGGAAGGATAATAAAGACAAGAATTATTAATAAATAAAATAATTAATAATAAATAAAATACTTAATAATTAATAAAATAATTATTAAAAAGGAATAATTTGAAAAAGAATAATACAAATAATAAAAAAGGAGTGTTTTGGGGGAGGAAACTGCCTCGGTGTGTGCTGGGGAGGGTGGGTGTGCCATGGTTGCACCCACAATTAGTGTGTGCAATTAAGGGGTGTTAATTAGCTCTTGTGTGCTGTCCCTGCAGGATCCTGAAGGCCCGAGCAGAGGAGTCAGGGGAGTACCTGTGTGTGTTTGTGTTCTCCGGCTCTCCCGTGGCCAACGCCACCATCGAGGTCAGAGGTACTGCTGGCACCCTCACTGTCCCCTTGTCCCCTCCCCTGGCACTCCCTCAGCAGCCCCACAACACAGCAAAGGCCTCCTCACCGTGCCTGGGTTCATATCAGAAATAATAATTTGTTATCACAGATAAAAGCTGTGATTTCCAGGGAAAGGCTGGCACACATCCAGGGAAAGAGCTCAGAGATGGGAGCAGCCATGGGTTTGTGGGCACTGGGTCATGGGCACATCCTGGAGCCTGAAATTAGGAATAAAAGCTGCACAATGGGCAAGGTTTGCCACAGGTGTGGCTGTAGGGAGCCACAGAGCAGTGCTGGTGTCAGGAATTCCCAGTGGAATTCCAGGCTGAGGTTGGGAATTTGTGTGGAATTTGGCAGGCCTTGTCAGTCTGTGGGAAAGGGAATTCCACCACCCTGAGGAGCTGGGCTGGGTGTTCAGGGCACACAGCTGGAGAGGTTCCATTTTCCTCCTTTTCCTTTTCTTGGGGATTTTCTATCCCATCCTGCCCTTTTGCTCTAATTGCTGAATCTCCTCATGTTAATTAAAATGCAAAGCTCCTGCTGGCTCCTCTGGGCTGCTCTGGGTGACAAACCACTCCTGGAGAGGGGAAATGCAACTTTGGGAGCGGAGCAAGAGCTCTGCCAGCTCCGGTGGTCCCTGCAGGGCCCTTGGGATGTTTGCCACAGGGCTTGGCTGCTGCTCTGCCAGGCAGGGCCACCAGCAGAGCTTGGCAGGGAGCTGGGGGCTCACTCTGGGGGAGGAAATGGCAATTGCTGTGATTGAATGCCAGGAGAACTGATCCTACTCACTTCCCACAGGTAATTTACACCTAAATGCTCTCCTGGGAAAGTGGGGACAGCAAATGGGGACTGCACTTGGAGCAGCTGTGGGGACAGTGACACCACCGGGGTGCCCATCACACCTGTGATCTCATATTTACCTGCATGGCTCCTGTTGGTGCTCGAGCAATTACACTCAGAGTTAATTGTAATGATGCTGATTGTAATTAGGGTGCAGCTCTCACTGCTGATGCACAGGGGAAGGAGGCTGCTGAATGCCAAAGTGCTCGTGCTCCAAAAATAGGGATTTTCTGACAGCTTGTGAACAGCTTCCCCTGAGCCTGTGGCAGAGGCAGCCAGGGCATGCAGGGCCACTGCCCTGGTGTGCTGTGCCTCCTGTCCCTGCCATGGCCTGGAGCAGCCTGGCACAGTGGGACATGTCCCTGCACGTGGCAGGGGTGGCACTGGATGGGCTTTAGGTCCCTTCACCCAAACCATTGTGGGATTTTTTCACAAACAAAATCCTTAGGGCAGAGATGTGAGAGCAGTTGGAAATCCAAGCAGTGTCTGGTGCCTTTCCTGGGAATTCATTCCAAGCTGGATTCCCTCAGCCAGCTCTGCTGGACTTCTGGGGGGTGATTGGTCCTCCTCAGCTCCCCAGAGCTGTGGGGGCAGCCCTGAGCTGCAAACCTGGGGCTGAGCAA